TTTTGTAATCGTCGCTGTGCATCCTTCATAATATTTCAGTGCTGCACAGTTGTTTGTTAGAATAGTTTCCTCTGATGTCACAGTTGAATGCGCTTGTTTTTGTTTCAGTTGTAGGACTTCAGGTTTTAACATATTAAAATTTATGTGCAAAAGGCTGCACTGTTTAATTATCCCAGAGAAGATTTTTTTCTAAAGTAGCGTGTATGCAGAAAACGCCATTTTGGTATCAAAGTTAACTGCATGTTTTTTGTTTAAAAGAATCGAGGTGTAAGTGCTAAAGAATAAGAGTTAAGAAGCATAACCGACGGCTGTTCTATTTCGTGGACAATTCCATCTGAATCAATAACTATAAATTTGATACTGCATCCCGTGGGCTCAAGCAACTGTAAGTACCCTAAGGGCTCACCGGGCAGTCGCTTTTTATCGCAAGCTGGTGCAAGTTTTTATTAAATTTGAGAAAAGGTAGACGGCTTTACGTGACGATTGAAATCTTTGAGGTGATCCGTGTTGTCTGATACAGATGACTAACATCTTTTGTGTAAAGCTATAACTGTGGTGTAATACATGGAATTCTCAGAGGGGGGAGTTGAAGTTTTCATTATTTTATGAATCAATCTATTCATATTAGATAAGGATTTTCTCCAAATTCTGTTCAATTTTTCCCAGCCCTTTTTTTTTGTTTGAAGGTTAATTTGAACACGTACTTTCAACCCAAGCGCTTTCTGCTACAAGTTACAAATTATTATCACGGCATGCCGCAAGACCCCGGCGTTTCAATTTTGTTAGCGCCACCAGCAAGGCAGTTTGTGTTTGCCTGTGTTTGGTGGCCAGGAATTGGCCTGATATTGATCCAGGTGGCGCGCATTTCCTACTTCATCATGAGGTCGTCAATGGGTGAGCATCTGGTTCACCCCTCGCCGATTCCTTGGGCTTAAATTCCCAGTTTGTCATATCTTATTATTACTTTATGGGCCCTGGACAAGTTTCAGAGCTGCACTGCCGTTCTTGCCCTGGGCTGTTCGAGAAAATACCATCTTCAGACTGGTTTACCTAACTCTTCAAAATGTATCGACCCTTTTGGTGATATTCCTTCCCCACGAAATACGCGTGGGCCATGCAAGCTATGGGATATAAATTCGGCCGATTTCATGGCTGTTGTTTTAGTCTATGAAGCGGTCTTTGGTGGCTCTCGTTTCACTTAAACATTGCTACACAAAAGCCAATACTTTTCCCGAATTTGTGCTTTGGAGATTGTTTTCTGCAAAAGTTGGTGAAGTTGATGTCTCTTGTTGCTTCTTTGCTGTGCCATCACTTTCAAATTTTCTAAGTCATTGTCCTCGATGGTAATTTTTGTTATATTTTTCTTATACTGTAGAGCCTGGTCTCATCAGTTAAAATCATGCCGCTAATGCTTCTGTCTCTTAGAATAACTGTTATGCCCCAATATTACTTTGTCGTTTTTATGACCTGAATCGACCCCGAAAATACATTTTCTTAGTGTAGCCTCTACACCAGCCCGACATCAAGATACAATTCGTGACAAATTTTTTGCTTAAAGCATGTGACATTGTGGTAGGTTAAAAACAGCTTTTGCGCGGAATTGCGTAGCACGATCTGTGTGCAATTTACTGCAAAATCCTAGATATAATTAGCATGTAAGCAAATGAGACAGAAATGAGGAACTCAGAGAGAAAACGATTTTTGTCCAGGAAGTTGATGGACCCTGGACATGTAAGACAACTAGTGGTATCGTACACGCTTGCTGTTTGTTTTCAGGAAAGATTGTTAGTTTTGGGTTGCTTGAGTTGTGAATACTGCTCTTCTCCGTTCTTCCTTGAGTAAACTGGCAATTCTTCGCCAGCGATAAATCAAATTACTTGATGGCAATTGGGCTTTTTGGGACTGAACGCTGAATTGCCGGCGATTTTTATTGGGTCTGTATAGCCACGAGAGCAAAACTAACAATTGCTTTGGGTTGTTGACAATTTTAGCATTTTTGTGATTTATTTTGTGGATTGGATATGCTGCGTTTGTTTTGAGAGGTAAATAATGATAAGGCAATCGTGTGTGCTGTTTATATGCATCTGACATCCTGTTTCAAGTTACAGTGAACATATCGCTAAATAAACATTTCGAAGAAATCTAAGAAAGCTGTGTTCTTCCTAAAATGTGTTGTTGTGACGAGCCTGTAAACGAAAACGTGCAGTTAGAAATTCGTTTTTTGTAACCACATAAATTTTCCCGTCATTATTTCTTTTTATAATTTAATGTCAGCGTTTCGGCACTTGTGATTTGCTTGCTTCCATTTTTGCAAGCCTTACAATAGGTATTTTACCATGACATGTATTTTATTTCGAACTGGGTTTTCGAATTTATTTGATGGTCACGCAGGTCTTCTAAAGGGACATTTGTGTCCGTTTGAGGGCATGGATCATTTCACTAATAACTTCCTAGTTATACATACATGCACGTACATTTCCATGGCGGCAAAATGCATGAACGGCCCGTTGAATGTATAGGCGCAAACATGCCATGTTCACTTTTGTAGTCCGGGAATCCTCTGATATCGTCAATTTCCTGGTCCAGGAGGGTTCCCTGAAGCATTAAATAAAGAATCAACATTTACTCTCTTATTTTTGAGCTCAAGTAGAAGGGAGCCCTACCGATTCCTACAACCATGTTCTCTTGGGAAGAAAGAGATCCTTAAGGTCTTCATTTTGTGCATAAAAAGGTCCTTTTTAGACTAGAAAGTAATAGTTGTAATGATGTTAGAGGGTTTGAAGGGCAAAAAGTGGAATTATCTGCAGAACATTGCAGAAAAGGACATCGATATATACACCGATGTAAATTTTTTAATGTGTCACTCACGCTTTTTGTCCCATGACCATGTATCGCATTCGTGCATAATTGTGAATAATTCGTGCATAATTGTGACTAATTCGTGCATAATTGTGAATAATTCGTGCATAATTGTGGAGGGTCCATTCTGTTTACATACACAGTTCTTGTGTTCTGAACATACAACAACCGGTATTCGCGGGATTTACGTTTGAATAGTGTTACACATGTAGTTTCAACGTTCAACATTCTAACTCCCAAAGCTTCAACTTTAACTTGTAAATGTAGTTATGATGACCTGAATATTATTTCAACATATTTCTTTGTGTTTGTCTTTCAATTTTTTCCTTTCCGATTGCGTTTTACAGCCTGTCATTTTTTGTTTATTCTGCTTGTCGGAAATAAGTAGGCCTACTTTGATAAAATTAGATCATTATTTAACTATACCCAAAAAAGCAGGTTACGTGCGACTTGACGAAGAATAATCACACAGGAACAAAGGCCTTGGGGCACCTTCATCCGGAGAAATCTAATCAAATCGGGGTGCATTTCAATATCTCCTAAGTCGATGATTTTAATGTTTGCTTTCCAAGGTCGCTAGCACTCTCTTCTCATCATCACGACCAGTGATTCCGTTCTGTCCTGCGGGAGTGAGAGCATTTGACAATGTGGCAGGGGCTGGGGAAGCTATTCCCCTGGTATCCTAGCTCCCATCAAGGAGGGGATGGTCTCTATGTCGACGCTTGGATAAGTCCCACAGGTCCAACTTTCACTGTCGACAATTACACCTTAATGCCCGCAGCCTATTCTGCGTCTAGAGCTATTAAATAGTTCGCCAGTAGTTGCTAATCATTCTGTTTAGTATTGATCTAACCGAACGATGCTCCTCTGCCAGCTGTCGACGTTGTTATTCTCGTGATTTTTTGTCATTTGTTCCTTTTAACATGTCCGATTGAGTAAACGTCAAGAAATGAAAGCAGCGATGCGCCTTCCGTTGAGAAATTAATTAGGCTACTTTCCATTTAATTTAACAAAACGAAGACTACACTGTTGGTCCAAATTGTAGCACGCATTTAAATTTCATTATTAATCTCAGCGTAAGTAAAGAGATATACGCTGTTGCAATGTATCTTCTGCCCAGACCCTTTATTTTACCTTAAAATATAAAGGAATGACAACCATTGAATCCTAATATGACATTGAGAATGCTCACTAATGAACTCAGCGGTACTGTGTTGGCTATTTTAGGATCTGTAATATGAGGTGGTATCTTTTACAGTAACTTGTATAGCGTCCAATTTGAAATGTATATCTGATCGTGATATCTTTGCCTTCATAGCAAATATAAGTTACTTCAACCTTACTGCTTTCAAGGTCAATAAGAAATGTAATATCACACGCGGGATTGAGTCTATTATATCTAAAATATTTTTAAATATAGTTTTCAAATGCAATTTCCCTTGTGTTCATTTGTGTTGTTTAAAAAAGAGTTTATTTGATAAAGTAATCTGTAAAGGTAACTAGCATCTTGACAGCCTGATATGGAGGTAATATTGGTAACGAGTCACATTGCAGACCGTTCTAATTCCTTGGTTTTGTGTTTGTCAAAGGAGGCTGCATCTGTAATATTTACAGAGCCAGCGAACGGCAAAACTTGCTTAATACATTTAAATGCGCGCTCTTCATGCAAACTTGACACACCAACCAATGATTTATTCGTTTGTGTCATTCTCATTGGGAGTAACAGCACTTTGTTCAGAGACAAAAGCTTGTTATAAAAAGGGGTTTTAATCATTACCGCCAATTCCTATGCAGTCACAAAAGTTTGTTCGTTTCTTTGTTCGTTTGTTTTAATGATCAGGGTATCATCCGCACATTAATCTAAACCCAGCGTGCTTTGGCAGAACCGTTAGATATTTACGTCTCCGTACCAAGCGGACATCAGTACGACTGTAATTAGACGTGTATTAGATGACTGCCAACACCTGTGTTTAGAATGCCCACGACGCCCTGCGACATCGATCATTAGTCACCGACAGAGTCAGCGTTGCCACCAAAACTGAAGGCTGTGATAGAGTTTCGATGGGCATTGTGGGTAATGAACAGAATTTGTGGCGTCGCACGTGTGCAGCGTCGCACTGACTCCAACAGTCCCACAAGTGCTTTGGAAAGGACAGAGTGGACTGCAGAGTTGGCTTCGTTGGTGAGGGCAAGTCGTGATGCGGACAGCATCAGCAGTTCGTCTCAGCTAGAGTTTCTTAATTCAGTAACGCAAGATTTCAGTTCACTGCAAACAAGGTAAGCTGTGATTGTTGAAGATTTTGAACAGTTCTTTGTATGAATTGAATGATTAATTTCAAACATCCCATCCCAAAGGTATCATTTCAAGCTAAAACTGTCTTAAATTGAAGACAGTTTGGATTTGGAGAAATCTATGTGCAGTCTAAGCAAAAACAATTGTTTCGCAAAAAAGGGTTGAAAAGTTATCAAGCTGTTTGGCTCTTGATGGTAGTTCAGATTATTATCTGAAGAAGCGATTCAGTGTTATAAACTCAGAAGGTCCCTTTGTAGTAGAAAATATATGAGAAATGTAGAATGCTGCTATTGGCTAAGCGACGACTCAAAGTTCCAAAACATAGGCTCAACCAATCAGTCGCATATTTGCAATCATCGTCCGGTTTTGAACAAAAAGTATGCAATTTGTTAATATCTCCTTCTCCAGGTAATAAATTATATTCACTTTCTGCCCTCTTGAGATAACCCTTTTAGAGAGAAGATGCCATTTACCGAAATGTCATTTTATATTTATTGTACATTAAAGAACATCTGTGGTAATTGATAAAGAAAAACGCCTGATGGAAGAAAAGGCGACCCAAAATGAGTCACAAGACGAACCTTTTTCTGTAAAATCAGGATGTCGTGTCTTTAAGACGACGAAGCCATGTATAGCTGCTTTTCAGATGTGACATGCACAAAAAATATGAGCGATAGAAACATATATTGAAAATGATGTATGAACAATGACATCTGTAGATAACAGCTTAATATTATAAGTACCCACCGTCTCCCACAAGGAACAAGAAGAGTGATGGTAATTGATGTATCTTTGATCGATTGGCCCGTGTTGTCATTTAACTGAAAGAGGGAATACGACGAATATAGTTCAAGTAAACCTCTATCTCTTTTTAGCCTCAATTTAGTCGAATGTTGAGTGCAATACGTTCCTTTTTGACAACGAACTTTCATCGGCTTGTAGTTTGAGTTTAGTAATTCATTTCCTACTGCAATGGTTGCATTTGGAGGTGACGTTCCTTACAAGCATGGTTGAGAATCAAAGCCCCATAGTCCAATTGCAAACTGTCTTTTAAATAAAAACAAAACACCTGCAACTGAACATAGCTTCAACAAAGCCAGTCAGAACTATAACAGACCTATTTTCTCGTTTTCGTTGAACTGAAAATTGCAAAAAAGTTGATAGTTTGAAAGTTTATTTCTACTCTTTTTGTTTGAAATATTTCTCCAAATGCATGTATTATAAGATGTTGCTTATCTTCTATTGGTTTTCAGTTCGACTCAGACGTTCATCGATCGACCTGTTTAATCGAAGTGATCTACTTGTTTAATCGACGTGGTTGTGATTAAAGCGCCAACTTGGCATATTACGAGAATACTCGCAAGTCAAACTCACCTAAAAAATCATATTAAATGAATCCTCCCCTGCAGAACACCGGTCACTGCAGAGCATCTTTCGTGTGATTTCGTCGATGAATTAATTAGTCAGAGGATTCAATGAGAAAAATTGAATTAAATATCAAAATAATTGCTTTAACGTTTGTCCGGACCCTTTCCGGTCAGTCCTCAGGGATTTTTTATATGAGGAGGGAAATATAATAGGGGTATTTTATTTCCTTTCGAACCCAAATCTTGAAAGACCTCCCAAAGTTGTCTTCCCCATAAAGGTTATATAAAGAAATAATAATGTTGTTCGAAAAATAATCTGCCCCCCCCCCCGAAAAATAGTTTTGATTGGCCTTTGTTGCTGTCGGATCAAAACCTGGCAGTGACAGTTTTTTTTTTTTTTTTTAATATTTGGTGGTGGATAAAATGATTCTGGAAAATCGTGCGTCTGTTAAGAGACCGTACTTAGGCTGCTCATTCTGTTTTGTCATCAGTTGTCGTTTGCATAAGCCGTAAAACATAACGGCCTCAACTAGTTCCAATAATAACGGACATTACGAAGGAATGGCAGTTATCTGGCAGTGCATTTGAAGTCCCTGGTCTTCCTATATAGGTCTCCTTAAGCTTCAAAGCGGGTTCAATCGCTTGCAACTTATACGTTTGAAACATTATTGCATTCCCATTTGTCCGATATTACCCCCATAATAAGCCCAAATGAATTGTAAAGCCTGTGTGTTATTTAAGAAACCTCCATAGATCATGCTGGGACACGGAGCAGTTTTCATTCTCAACCTTGGATGTATCAGCATTTATTGAAAAATACGTGCGAGCAAGTCTCAAATGTATTGATTCCTCAAAGTGCGTTTGGCTGTCATCGCCACGTATTTTCAATCATGTCTATTGTGTGCTCTCGATACTTTGCCTCGGAGAGTGCAATATCAAGTATGTTGCGGATAGTGTTTCTTGTTTTTCATTGAAACGGGATTCAATTTATTTAAGAGGACGCTAGTAACATGTTTACTTATATCGAACGGAAAATCCACGTCTTGTTTTTTGGTATAATTTTACAAAAGTACATTAATAATTTGGCATAATTGTCGACTTTTCTATGTGTCCTATAAAAATCAGTGCCAAGTTTTCCAGCTAAGTTTGATAACCCTTCAAGTTGGTTTCAATTTTACAACTGATCTTTCTCCACGTGTTAAATGTTCATTCACGTCTATGGTTTTACAAGTGCAAAAGCCAGTAATACAAGTTCCTAAAAGTTATAAGTTCATGTAGCGTGTGCTTTGACTATAGCTGACAGCTTCGTTGAGAATTTGTTCAAGCAACGTCTAGACAACGTTTAGCCAGTTTGGAATGTGAATGTCTTGTTCTTTGTAAAATACTTTTATCAGACCTGATAGGTTTCTAATTAATCTTCGTGCACGTTCAATGGTATAGAATTGGTATAGCTATTTTGACGCAAACTGAAATCACATCAAATCACAATATTTTAATGACCTCACTCGACATGGGGCCAATTAAGTTGAAATAACTACACAAATAATCTCATAGGGGCCTATTACTTCAGTCTAAGTTGCAATTTATGGCAAACCAGTTAGGTACAATAGCCTTTCCTTTTTGCCCGCACACCAGATCAATTAGCAAAACAGCTTCACATAAAAACGCAAATTTAATGAGCGCCTCGAAGGTGTTTTTTGTTACAGACGTATCAAGAAGGCTATTTTTGGCGAAAGAAATGAAATTTTTGGTGTTCAATAACATGTATAATTTACAACGGAGACCCGATTGGTTGTGAGTGAACAACAAAATTTGCATGACTTCGTTCGAAACTCTCATTGGTTGAGGATATGTGACTCGCACGCGCATAAAAAGACTGCAATATAATAAAAGGACCCGCTATAATTTCACTTGACCTCTCACATATAGCTTTCAATGAGTGAAACGTGATTGTATTTCCTTCTCAAACACAATTTGTCAACAATTTATCGTGGCCTTTCGCTTAATTGCCAAAGCTTGAGTCATTTCTACTTGTGTCTTTGAAAGGACGCACTGTCATTTGTCATCACGGATTTGTAGAATTAGATCAAAACCCCCAGACCACAGAATGATTTTTATGAAGTCAAACTACAGTGGTTGCGATCTGTCTCCACTGTCCGGCTGGATTAGGCATTGAATCTTGTAAGCTGTCAGTTTTGAGCTCTGACAGAATCTGGTTCATAACTTAAGTCAGGCGATATACTTGAATTTTGAGGAGTAACGAGTCTGGAATTTACGTAATCTGCTAGCAGTTTGCCTCGTATTGTAAACCCATTTAGTTTTCTTGTAAGCTGTAAGGTTATTGATTATTTCTTTATTTCTTTTCGTAAGAAATGTCGCGTAGTTTAAACCGCTGAAAGGTGGGACAAATTCCAATCGTTTGTTGTTGTTTTTTTCGGTTGTCTTTTTAACTCATTCGACACAACCTCATTCATTAAACATTGAGAATCATTGCCCACTTTACCATAAGAACAACAATGTACAGGAGAAGCACAATATAGAAAAAAATGATAAAGAATAGTAACATGAAAAACAGAAGAACCACATTCCCTTTGCCACGAACATTCGCAACTTCTCTCTCATCGAGCGAACGATCATTGAATCCTACACCATGAAGTAACAGAACTTTCCAGTCCATGTCAAAACTCCGGGGATCTGCAGGAACTATAGCAACCGCAGTGCAGGTTGTACCCGACGTTGAATTAAACCAAGTTATGATTGATCAACCCGTTTACGGCTTGGCAACCAAACTGTTCCCATTTAACATTCCACGGTTCGATTGTAGGAGTGGGTACGCCAACTGTCCCAGCGCATGTCTGGACCCAATTAACCATCGTGAAGATAAACCAGCGTCATGTGTTTCATCGCGGACTAAGAAAAGTATTAACTGAAAGTATAATAAGACACGGCTGAAAAATATTGTCAGCGACATCGAAGTGACGGAGTTTATTTCAAGGTAATGGCTGAAATGCGTAAGTCCCGTTCCAAATTCCTCATGCAGGACAGTGTGATGTTTACGGTCACCTAAAATGCAGCGGTGTCATGCGTAATCTCCCATGTAAGGTATCAAAAAACTGATGATCATTGTCAAAAAATGTACAAAATTTTGTCAATTTTAGAATTTTAAATTCTTGGGGAGTCAGTATTTGGTCATAGATTTAATTTGATTTCGTTTATTGAGATACGTCTAAGTGGACCTAAACGGTAACAAATTATTCCTCTGCGGGTAACCTTCGAAAATAATGATTGTAGTTTTTTAACAATTGGAGGAAAATGATAAAAATTTTCTGGAATTATCGAAAAGTTATGGCTAAAGATGACTGGGGTGGCTCGAATTTACATTGAAGCTCAGGTCAGGTTTGAAGTTGATGAATAACAGTCACTGATGTATACTGATAAATCAACACGTTCAGTTAATCGTGTTCCTGCCCAAACCAGGCCGTTAATAGCCTAATGCCCAGACAACGCACGCGTCCATGTGGCCCCTAACTCCCTTAAAATTAAATTTGTCAAGTGCATCTGACATCTTTCGTTTGAGAGCTACTCTTAGACATGTTAGATTGCTTTATTAATCCCGA